ACACTGACCATTATACATGTATCAACATGTAATTTTCATAAGAATCCTGTGAGGAAGATACAATTATTCAAATTGTAAAATGTGAAAATAAAGACATAAAGAAGGTAGGAAACTTACACATGATAAGTGAGTCTTTGTCCTTAATACTTCATCCTAATGCCACATCAGTATACAGTATGTTCTATAGAACACAAATAAACATTAGTCAATACATGTAGTTGCCTGTATGTACACTAGTGTTAGGTCCTTTGCATAGGTGTCTTTGAGTGATTCTTACCACTCAAGAGCTTACAGTTGGCATAGGTGGCTCTTCTGTACATAACATCCTACCTAGCAACTCTAGCATCTTAGCCAACAATAGTCAGGCAATTTTTCATGGACTTCCATGGCTCATTCCTTCAGATGCCAAGTTGGCTCAAGTGCATACAGTCTTAAATAATATGTAAAACTCAACTCCTCTTTCTCTCTATCTTTTAAGGGTCTGAAGTCATTGTTTCAAGAGAATCTTTTTCAAAGCACTAATACATTAAGCTAGGAGACTGAAAAATCTAGTTTTGATCCTCTTCCTCCCTCTAAATCACTAAATAAATCTGATCAACTTACTTCACCTCTGTGAAATCCAGCCTTTTTGACTGCATGGAAATAAAATGCATGTATCGCAGAGTTTTTTAAAAGATTAAATAAAGGGTACAGTGTTTAAGGATGCTCTTCAACTTATAAAACACTTTATGTAGCTATAAAATAGGAGATAATTATAACACAAATGCTACAACTTGGGATGTTTTTGTTCTATATAACCCTGTAAAGTTTTCAAAGCAGCTGTGCCTTGATAAATTACAGGATAACATCCTCTTAATCATAACATTTATAAAACTTCTTTTTTCTTTTCTATAAATATAGGAGGCAGTCAACAAATGTTTGGTTGGAAGGATGGATAGTTGGATGGATGTAAAAGGGAAAGGGAGAAAATGTATGCTTCTAAATTTTAACATATTACTTAATATGAGCTATGTAGGTATGTTGAAGAGTATAAGTGCTTAAGGGATCCTGAACTAATTTATTGTGTCAATAAGTTATTTGTCTGCTGTTTGTTTTTCATTCAACAAAATTCTATTGTGTAACCATCAGCTGGGTACTGTACAAGTTTCAGAGGAACCACATTTGAATATGTCATATTTTGAGTGCCCATTTCCTTAGTTGCCAGTTTTGTCCAGTAAGCACTTCAAGGAATGCAGAATAAATTGAAACCTACACACAGACACAAAGAGTTCTATATTGTTGAGGGCTACATTTGTCAAAATCTCATCTTGGGAATCATTTCCTGATCATTCTTAATTCTTCCAGTAGAATCACAGCTGAATGTAGAGCCTGTGAACTTTTTATGGATTGTGAAATACGTTTATGCAAAGAAGAGGGAGTTTCTTCCAGCTTCTCTCTTTTCCCTGTATGTCCTTGGGCCTGTTCTCAGGAGCAGTCCATGCCAAGCCCTATGGGACTGTGCTAAAGAAGAATGCCAGCTCTTGGATTCATGTTGTCTCCCAGAGGTGTCACTTATGCACTGCTGTTCCAGCAGGTGTGGCATTAGGCAGTGCAAGTAAGTTTCCAGAAGTGAAAACTGGGCAAGACCTGCCTCTTGTCAGTGCTATATGAACCTCACTGATGGCTGCCCAATCTCTTTAGGACTGGAGAATTAGGATCTTCGGAGAGTGTTTTTTGTTTTTCTACTTCAGGCATGGAGATACTTTCTCTGAGACATTAGAAGCACAGTGTAAATTATATACTGATAATGGCCAAGAAAGAACCTTGGTTCATGATCCGTCTCTCTCACTGTGAAGATGAGTGAATTAGTTCACACTTGTCACAGATTTGGGACTGAAGCTCAGATTTCCTCTCAGGCTGAGTGCTCTGTTCTGTAGTGAACTAACAATTCCAGGTATTTTTCCTCTATGTAGGACAATTGTAGCATCACAGAGTATAGAAAGACGAGAGTTTTGGTGTCACAGAAAACAAGGTCAAAACTGGCTTTGCTTTACGTACCTGTTGGGGTGGTTACCCAGACTTTCTGCATACAGCTGACTCTTGCGAAGTTCAAATGATTTGGTGTTTATGTGGCGATAGTGGTAGTGGTGATGATGATACAGCTACCATTGGTGAAATATCTGCTTTTGAACATTTTCTCAATATGAAAGCAACCATATGTTTTGTTATTTTCTTCATTTTACAACAGATCTTTCTCTTTTCAGGTTCCTTATTCTTCTCATTTATTCTTGGGTTCTAAGCCTAAACACATTACGAGTGAATCTGTTAACTACAGAAGAAACAAAGAAATATTTGCCATTTTAAATCCTTGTCAAAACTGAATGCTTTTCTCCATTTTAAGTTCTTATCAAAACTGAATGGCTTTGTAGGTTTAACTTTGTACTTTATATAGGTGTAATCAATAAACATGGGCCATTCCTAGGAATTCTTTGTATTTATTTCCTACAGAAGACCAGCAGTGATCAGCCTGTGTTCTGTTAGGGATCTCAGTATCAATAGTTTGAAGACTCCAGTGTTTTGAGATATACAGATAGCAAGCACTCATTACCCGCTTATTGGACTTTTGTCTCAGTGAAGAGGAATTAACACTTTGGAATTCAACTACCTGAGTAATAGTCACAGTCCTTATCTTTGCAAAGTTTCTGTTGTTTGTTTTGTTTTTTTTTCATATCTAAACTTCAGTTCCCTTTCTATAAAGCAAAGACAGTAATAGTACTTTCCACATTAGTCAGTTGTTTTAAGAATAAAATTAGATACGTCAAGAAAGATCACACAAGAAAAGCTCAGCTAAAATTTGCTTATTATCTGGTTTCTTCTTTGTGGCCTGAGGGGGGACCCACATCCCTCAATGTTCCTGCGGAAATCCCATGCCATACTAAGTGTTCAAAAAGGAGAGTTTCACATGTAAAGAAAGTGGTTCCCTGGTAATGAAGGATCTGAAAAGCTAGAGATAACAGAATGGAAGCTGCTACCATTTGGAGGCTGTGGGGTCCAAGGAGAGAGTATGGACACCAAAGGCAGTTCACACTGGTGGACACTGCAGCTGTAGCCACTCAGTCAACAAAGCAGAAGGGAAATATCCACAGCTAAAATATCCCTTTGAGAAGAAGGAAGACAAGGAGACATGCTTTGGCTTGTGCTCTCGTCAGCCCTTGGATCTTCTGATAGGCTGGACCATGACTGAGTCTGGAAGCTGCAGTGTGGGGGTAGCCCCACTATGCTAAAAAGAATAGGAGCTGCTTCTGGAAGCAGATGGGCCCAGAATTCCACAGGCTAACATCCCAAACCTTAATTGCTTAGATGCTGGGATTTTTAACTCCTGCAATGAGCAATTTGGGAAGCTCAGAGGAGCTGTATTCCCTTCAGCTGGGTCTCTGAAAAATAGCAGAGGTACACAAGTTGCTGCACCCAGAAAGGAGAAGTGGGGAAAAGCAACAGAAAATGCTTAGAAACTATAAAATGCTTCTCTGTGGCCCCTACATCCACAGCTTTTTAAGAAAAAAGCTTGCTTGCTGAGTAGTCTATGCCTCAATATCTGAGACGCTATGACTTAATAAGACACCCCCTATTCTGCCTTTCATGTGACTAACACCTGTGGGACAGTATGGACTGAACTCCTTGAGAAGTCCCTTCAAGCCCCAGCAGAAATGCCCAATTTTGGTTTCATTGTCTTTTGCCAGACTTTGGGCACCCTGAGCACAAGGACCCTTGTTCTGCATCTTGCCTCCTCCAGCATTCATATTTTCAATTTCTGCCCTGAGGTAGCAACTCTAGCAGGCACTGGGCTACTGAGCATGTGCATAAACCAGAAAGTTTCCTCCGGCCTTCATTAGGCAAGGAGATCAGGCAGTTCATGAGCTCTTGAAATTGCCAGTCTTTTCTATTAAGGACATCCAGTAATACAAGAGAACACTGAACAAGAAGTTTCCATTTTTCCTACAGGGCCAAAAGCCTTTTATGAAAAAATAACATCTGTGTTAGAAGTAAATAGGAGCCAGCCTCATGGAGAGGGTAAGGAATTACATTCCAGGCAGAGGAACCAACAAATGCAAAGGTGCAAAGGAGTATCCCATATTCTAGACTGAGAAACAGGTGGCAGTGCATGGAGCTGCACAAGTCAGCAAGAGGTTTCCTCTCCTGCATCCTAGTGTCTCATCTGTGCCCTGCATGGTTCACCTTCTATCTCATGTTGTAAAATGCACTTCTTGTCTGTGGCTTCCACATCACACCAAGTGTGTCATTTTGGGCACAGATTACCTGTTGGATAGTTGAATAAACAAAGGTAGAACAGCAGCCCTGATTAGCTCTCTGATCATATTTGTAATTGAAGAATGCAGTCTGTAGATAAGCCAAGTCACTACCATTTATGGGAAACTGCTACTTGACATTCTTTTAACAAGGATTCTCCCTCTCCTTCTCCTTCACACTCAGAGCCCTGCAGTAAGTGGAGTAAGATCAGTAACCTAAGGATGCCAGAAAGATTCAGTTGTGAGGCAGTTCCTCTTCTCCAGCCTTCTTTGAAGTCGAGTATGAGGCATTGATCCAGATCCCATGCTTCTACTCCACTCCTTATTGCAGCCTGACTGTGGGCAAGTTGGTTACCCTCTGCAGGCTGTAGTTTCTCACCGATGTCTGTCTGTGGTATTCCCAACCTCTACCGACAGTATTAATATCCAGGGAGAGCACTGTGTAAGTGCACAGCGTGTGCCTGCTAGCAGAAAATAGTTGGCAGCTACTGCTTTTCATGTGGAAGAAAATAGTCAATGTTACTACTATAAGATTGATACCATGTATGGGTCAAAGTGAAGCAAAGCAGCACATTTCCTTATATCCTTCCCATGGCCAGTGAGTAGGCTGGCCACAGGAGGAGCATAGGTTTTATGCTTGTTTTTGGCTTTCTCTCCCTTTTTTTTTTTTTTTTTTTTTTTTGAAGAGATATGTTTTGTTTTACTTTCTCACAGGAGTGATTGGAGCAGATGTGACGGGTCATGGCCTCATCTGTGAGGGACAGCCAATGACATCACGGCTGGCTGTCATCTGTGGGACTTCCTCTTGTCACATGGGGGTGAGTATGCTAAGCACCAGGGCAAAGTCATTGCACATGAAGACTGGATGAGGGATAGTGGTACCGGCTCTTTCACCCCACCTTGTCTTCCTCTGTTCCTCTCTACCCCTTTGGGCTTTGTCAAGCCAGGAGCATCCAGATCATCCTTTCTACAGCCTGACTTACTTTTGCCCAAACTTTGTCCACGGACCAAACTTTTAAAAAGCATGCAAGGTTTGAGTCTGCCTTTGAGAACAACCTAATCAGAGAACATAAGCAGCCTTCTGGCTGTCCATCAATCTAAATCCATCTCTCTGGGAGTATCCTGATGAGCTGCAGAATTAGGTTGCATATCATGACTTTTAAAGAACACTGATAAGCAATTTTTACATTGTCAATTTTTCCCCATGGATTAATAGAAACACTTTCTCCAAAATTGCACTTAAAATTTAGTGCCTGCCCTAAAATTTATACCTTCTTTAAATGTATGAATCTGAAAGCATTCTATTTTGATAAGTACTTATTTTTACCATATTTTTATTTAAAAGTCGTTACTCTGTTAGAATGAGATAGACAACTCCTTGGATTTTTCCCAGGTGAGTACAGTAGAGGGGAATGTGGAGGAGAGGCAGGAGATGAGCAGAGAGGAAAATGGGACACAGCTCAGGGCAGAATTGCCTGCATTTCATAGGAAAGCATATGCCATGCAGAGCTGGTTAGTGCCTGTTGGGACCACACAGAGGCATTCCACTGTTTTTAGTAGCTACTTTTCATATATTGCTGCAATTATTTATTTTCTGATTCTTACTGCTATGTCCTTTTAGTGCTGAACTCTGGAGACATAAGGATAACATAGACCCTTGCATTGATGAGATAGTTATTACAGATATTGTAGCATGAGGATCCATTACAGTTTCAGACTGAAATCATGATACCGAGTGTGTTATGTGCCAGGCACTCAACGGTATCTCTTCCATGTGGTATCCTGTGTCATAGAGATATTTGAAACAGCCCAGCTAGTTTCTAGTCCCCCTTTCCCCACTTCCTGAGAATGGGCCGTTGGACAAGGTACTTCAACCCTCAGAGCCTCAGATTCCTGATCTGCAAAATATGGAGCATGATAGCCCATGTCTCCTGGTATGAGGACTGAATTAAGGTGAAGTGCTTCACATGGGCAAGCACTTCCCAGGTCTGCTCTTGATTACCAGCACTCATTACAGGGTGGTATGAAGCCAGTGGCTCTGCTAGGGGTGGTCCAGAGTTACAGAAATCTTCCTGGGGAAACATTTGAGCTAGACTTTACAGACATACATTTTTTAAAATTTGTTTTTCTGGATTCTAGCCTGTGTTAAATCGAAGTCCTGGACCAACTTTTTTTTTTAAAGTTCCACATTTTCCTATGTATAAGAAACATATTTAACTTGAAAGGAAATTCAAAGACTGAAAATCAAAGGGGAGAAAACAATTGTTCCATGTGAAAGGAGACCAGAAAAAAGCAAGAGTAATTTGCCCATCCACCATAGAATGAATGAGAAAGGTATGGCATTTCATACAATGGAAAGTGGCCCAGCTATAAAGCAGGATAATCTCAAGGCCTTGTAGGTAAATATATGCACCCGGAGATCATCCTCGTAGGTGCAATGGTTTGGACTCATATGGTATGGTGAACACTGAGTTATCTAGCGTAAAAAATTGAAGGAGTTAGTAGGATCCAAAAACCACAATAGATATTATGAAAGTGATAAGGGAGGAAATTCCTGAAAACAGAAAATGGAAACCACTGTTAATTTTCTATTATCTTACTTTGAATTCTTGTATCATTTTCATAATTTTGTTAGGTTTTGTTTTATTCTGTTTGGTTTTGTTAGATTTTACTGTGTCTGAGGGTATGGGCAGTTATTTTGATAACAGGATATATTACAATAACAATTGTTAATTTCCTGTTATCTTGTTTTGAAGTCCTATAATGCTTTCATTATTTGTTTTGATTGATCTTATTCTGTTTTGCTTTGTTTTGCTTGATTTTATTATGTGTGAAAGTATAGACAACTGTTTTGTAAAAACAAGAGACATTATGGTAGTCACTGTTGCCTTATTTTGAAGTCCTGTATCGTTTGTATTATTCTGTTCCGATTTGTTTTATTCTGTTTTGTTTTGTTCTCTTTAAAATAAAAAAGATAGAAAATTAGAATTTCCATGTTTCTTCCCCTTTAGCAACGCTATAGTGAGGCCATTGAAGGGGAGGCCAAACCCTTTTGGCAGGAAGTGTCCAAGCATCAGGCCAGTCTTTATTTCCCTTTACATGGGTCTATATTTGTTCATTTGTCACTATTTAAAACTATTTGAACCATCCCCTATTTTTAGTAGAACAAATCTGCTTTGGTTTCCACCACCAAGCCTGGGTGTTAGGCATATGTGTCCACTCAGTTTGGACTTCTAAGCAGACACGTGTCTAAATGAAAGTCTCTGCAATGCCTTTCACTGTCTCTTCACCGAATGCTACTGGCTTTTCATGTCTTACAAATGAGAAACTAAGGCATTGAAGAGTCCAATAATTTTCCTAGGGTTACAAAATACTAAGTTCTCAATCCAAGGACTCAGAGTTTGCTGTGTGGCCCCAAAGCTCATATTCCCAGCTGCAACTTGGTACTGTATGTGCTGACTATGACCCTGTTGAGGCATGGAGAGAGCAGGTGTTTATCGTTGTTAGATACACATGAGGGCATCCTTCCATGCACTGTTTGCCCTTGTGATTTGAGAGAGCCACGGAACTTCTTTTGAATTCTCCATCTGTGAAATCAAGGGCTTCTGGATATCATCCTTCTTGGGTACATGTGCCTACCACATAATAGACATTCAGCTGTGGATGGGATTCTGATGAAACTTTCTCACTGCCATAAATGGCTCACATGAAGCAACTGTTTGGGCTTTAACAAATTTGATGGGCAGCTGCAGTTGACTGCAATGAATGAGGACCATAAATTGTCAGTTTATGATGTCCTGTCTTACTGGAAATACTCTGCCCACCCTCCCTGGCTTTGTACTTGCTAGTGGAAACTGGCCTTCTGGGCCAAGGGGATTAGTCATCGGCTTTAATGTTATGTCAGGAGGGTGAGACTGTGGTCAGACTAGCATGGGGAAGTGCCTTTGATCTCCCTCAGGTGTGGAAGCCCAGCAAGCTCAACAATATCACCTTTGTGAGGTCTAGGCAAGGTGCAGTGCGAGGAATGCTCTTAGGGAAACTCAAGGACCCTTTTTCTTGTGGTTCTGGCAAGTAAAACTACTGCTGTCAGGAAAAATTTACCAAACAGAACACAGGGCCAAAAGGATCTGCAAGACTTTTAAAAAGTGGTTTACAAGTGAGCTGAAGGAATCTCCTTCTTCCTGACTGCTTACTTCTGATGTTTCTAGTCAGTGGGTTAATTGAGACAAAATTCCCAAGGACTGTTTCTTTCTGGGTCACCCCTAAAGAATGAATGAAGGAATGAACAGGTAATTGACTATTGGTAAACAATTAAAAGCCTCCTGCTTCCAAGAATCTGGAGAGAAAGCCTGAGGTAAAACTTAACAGGTACTAATGAGGCCTTTGATGTTTTAGAAGATATGAGTGTAGGTTGCACATTTATCTTTCTCCTGGATTATTTAATTAACAAGGAAAAAATGCTGTTCCTTTTTATTTTTTTAACTCCATGAAAGAAGAGCAGCTTGCTCACAGTTAATTACAAGTTGCTGAAATTCAGGATAACACACAGCAGGGGTTAGCCAGAGGTCAAAAAGTCACCAGGTCACGGCTGATCCTTGCCTTCACTCCAGCACCCCTTCTCTGGTGCTGTCAAGTGGAGCTATAATGTGGCAGCGTGTCCTCCAGCAGCTATGTGAGACAGCTGGGTCAGGGAGGAGCACTGATGAGGTAAGACTTCTGCAGAACAGGACTGAAAAGCCAAAAAGTCAGCTGCACCTTACATTGCTCAGAAATGAAATTTTCAGTCTCTGATGAATATGGAGACAATATTGAGAATATAAACATTTTGTCACTGGGTGAATGTGGGAGATTAAGGACTCAAGTTCCTTTACTAGGCTGACTGCTCCCTGTAGTTTAAGACATCTTTCAGAACCACAGTTTCTTCATCTGTTAAATGTGGCCAATAGCGTTCTCCTATAAATATACATTAAGAATTAAATTAGGTAATTATTGTAAATGGTTTGACATCATATCTGGCACAAATTACCAAACACAGGGTTATTATTAAACATGATAATGGAATGATCCTATGGAGTGGGTTAGAATTAGAGTATCAGTAGGAATTCATTTTTAGTTTAACATAGAAGACAGCTCTGCGTAAGTATCTATGTATGTATGTATATACACAGGTTGATAACCATGTATGTATTACGTAACCCTCCAGGTGAGAGGGCCTGGAAATAAGATTATCTTGGAAACTAGTCACACAAGCACATCTAACACCCACTATATGGTGTTCAGGGGCCCCATCTGATGAGAAGAACCCAGACTCTTTGGGGAAATGGCTGATACTAGGATTGGGGTACAAAGCTGGGCACTTTATAACAGGTTTATTTTGCTTGTGGGTCTGTAGATTCAAGGGAATGGTACTGGCATTGGCTTGGCTCTTCCTGGTTGGGTCATTATAGATCACCAGACAAGAACTCTGGAGAGAAGAAGGAGGGAGGGGAGGGGAGACACCTTCCACATGGTAAAACAGGAATTCAGGAGAAGGAAGGGCCTCTTAGCGAGGCCATGGTGAGGGTCGAACTTCCAAACCTTGGGAACACTCACTCTGTTCAAACCATGGCAAAGATGCAACATACATTAAGCACAAACTCTGCTGAGTAACAGAATAGACACCCTCATAAAAGAATTCAAACTGCATGGTTCCACTGTTTAAAAATCTGCGAAATGCACACTAAAATACAGTAACTGAGAGCACATTGATAGTTATCTAGAATGGAGAAGTAGATGCGAAGACAAAGAAAATACAGTCAAAATGGGGCATAAGGAAACG